AGATACTTTTGTAAGTATCGCTTTATTAAGATATAGTTACAATAAAATTACGCACTCATACGAATTTCTGTCTGCGGCGTCTTACTTGCATAAATGTTAAAGTGCAGACATTGAATTCGCCAAATTATATAATTACTAGCGATTCACCCTCGCTTCGCTCTGGTTCGTCCCTTGGTATAATTTAACGATACCGGTATGATGAGTTGTTGCGGGTTGTATTATAACGGTGTTTTGTTTTCCCGTGATAATGATATAATCCAGCGCGGTAAAAAGTAGCCTATGTCACCCCTAGCCCTCCAACGATCTCCACACAAAATATCATGCCAATCCGTCACTCTGTTTCGACGTGAAAGAAGGACAGACAAAAAAATAAACAAACATACAGACAAACTCACTTTCACATTTATAATATAAAGGATGGAAGTATGGATACAAAAACCATATATTTTAATTATTATATACATTTTTTTCATATTACTGTTTAATTTGACATGGAGTTCATGTATATCTTAAACCTATATCTGGCAATAGACCAATAGGAGGCGTGCATGAGTTGCAATTTCTATTGAAACTTATATTCTCGATAAACAGCTTGATAAACTTTTACCCAACTTTGACAGAAAGATTTCAATTTCATAGAAAATGAATTGCTTTGGAAAGTATAATGACATTTATAGCCATAGATTGTTATCCATCGGCTAAGAGCTCTGAAAAAGTATTCATAGATGAATTTTATATGAGTTAGAGAAAATCAATTAATTAAGAAAAATTATAGAAAGTTTATAAATTAATTAGTTTACGCATGCCATGTAATGTCAGTCGCTCTTGGATCGTAGTATCACACATTTAAAAAGATATTTTAGTTATTGGAAATTTCATAAAACTACGTACTTTGATATATCACAGATCTATATGCAAAAATGTATCAATAGCAAGCGTAGGCATGTAGATATCTCGGTAAAATGAAATCGAGTGTAGAGTATAAAATATTCCACTGCTAAATTTATAATTTAAGATATGACTTTGTAACACACGTATGACATCCATACTAATATTATAAATGTGAAAGTGTGTTTCTTTGTTAGTTTGTCTGTGATTTTTTGTGTGAAATTAATTGGAGGGCTGCAGTGACGCTACTTTTTACCGCGATAGATTAACTCATTCCCATGGGGAAACACGTTATAATACAACCCAAAACATATTTATAATACAATATGTCACCAATTAAATCGCATTCTTAGTACATTTAAATAATATTAATACATAGCATTATGCTCTGTTCATTTCCTGAAACATCGAACGTTTTAGAGTTAAATAAGTTATTTCCGAAAACTCGAGTGATTACCTCCATTTGAATTGCCCAGAAATAATCATATGTCCTTTAACTAGTTTACTTTAATATGTAGGTTGTATTTCAAACATGATATTAGAATATTTTGATATATTTATTTATAGGAACGATATGTAGTTGGATTACGAAATGTCGTTGTATCATTGAAAATTACTTTATATACTAGCATTGCCCGCGGCTCGGCCCGCGTTTAGATGACCAAAAACCAAATAGTATACTCTTACAATGCAGTTTTTGTATTTTTTCTCGGATATGAGATATTAAAACCGCGGTAAAAATATCCTATATGTGACCCGGATAACCAGCTATCACCATACCAAATTTCATCAGAATCCCTTTAATGGTTTTTCTGTGACGCGGTAACAGGCAGACAGACATACAGACAGACAGACAGACAAAAATTTTAAAACCTATAGATTCGGCCTCTGTATCGATAATAATGTTTATTTCAATAAGATTTTCCAACAAAGATTTAATGTACAGATTCGGCTTAGTTACAATTTTATTATATGTATGGATTAAGACGTGACGCAGAAACTTTGTACTCTACTTTACGAAAATTGCGCTGACGGAGGAGTATGAAATTTCGCACAGTTGTAGTTTGTATAGAGAAGGAGTGCAGAATGCATTTTTTTTAAATTATGCATAATAAATATATTAAATCTGATGAAAGATTTTTTTATTGATTTAATGTATTTATATGGTAATGTATTTGACACACACACGCATATATACTAATTTGTTTATTGTTAAATTGAGAATAGAATGTTAATATCGATTAAACTTAAGGAATTATGGTTGATTTTCAACCATGTGGCGATCACTAGTCTATACGTTATAGGATTTTAAACGTACTACAAATTTGCCATTTAACATTTTTCTCTAACTCTAATAAAACTACAGAAAGTGCTTAATCAATTATGAATGGCAGTGAACCGCGCTTGTCCGAGATGCTTTTTGCTCCAACGTCGACTAAATTAAACTATAATTAGAAGTAATAAAGTTTAGTATCTATAACTTTAAAAATATGGCATATCTACTATAGACATGTTCTGTACAAGTTTTGTAAATGATTATTTTTATAGATAAGTATCCATTATCTGCTTATTATTTCTTTTCCCACGGAACAATTAAAAAATATCTATTCCTTGCTATAATTATTCAATTAGATTTTTTTATGTTTTGAAATTTGACAAAAATCCTAATAATTTAAAAAAATCGTAGTATATACTATGTATATTAAATAAGTTGAAATTAAAATATCAATAATTAATTATAAAAATATTCTTAAGAGGGCTCTTATCGGGCTTGAAGCTATTAACAAGAAAATTGAAATATATTGGTTTAGGTTATATTATTATAGGTTTTATTTAACTACTAGCGGCTTACCCTCGCTTCGCTTGGGTGTGTCCCTATGTGTAAATAATTCCATAACACATTTGTATAAAGCAAAACAAATAACTCATTACAATCCAAAAAAAATTACTCAAAAAAAATTCGTTATGTTATTACAAAAAGACCTACTGTCAACAATCAATTTTAAAATAAGTATATACCTAAAAAAACACGAAATAAAAAAGCTACCTTTAACTTCAAAGTGATTGACTACGCTAAACGAAACCAATACAATTGCATCCATCCTCCTTCCATTTAAAATAGGTACATTGAAAAAAGTCATGAGGACTACTTAAAACTATAAACAAACAGTTGTTATTTTTGGATATTGAAATTAATTGTTTCCTCAAATTGATATTTGTAAATTAAAACTGTTTACATTTATCTGGTTTTGACATCTATTGGCACTCTTGAGTGTTAACGTTAACACCTCACGTGACCATGTCGATGACGACTTACATGAATTTACTCCCCATCCAAATCTGCCTATATAGAAGTTTTCACTACAAAAATATCAGAACTTTTGAATTCCTAAGTACCTAATTATGCCACCATCTAATTGAAAAAAATTATTCGTAGGTAGGTACAACAATATTGTTGTAACCAACAACGATCAACGGCGTTGATGTGCTAGGGCCCTCTTCGACCCCGTCTGTCACATTCCCGGCTGTCTTGGTCGTCGTTACGGCAGTATTACCTACGTTTAGCGAGTTATTTTAAATCTGTGATATCTTCTAATATTGATCAAATTTAAATAAGAATGAGTAGAAGCACAATACAAATTTATGTGATTTAATGATTACTAGCAACTCACCCTCGCTTTGCTCGGGTTCGTCCCTAGCTTACTTCCCCATACAAACATTCATCACTATTTTCCTTCCATCCCCCATAAAGGATGATTTCCGGGATAAAAACTATTTCACTCACCTTTCATATCATGAGATTTAAAAAATAATCTTATTTTAGTATTTTTTTCTTTTAATTTTCTTCTATACAAAGTTTCTGACAATAATAAACATAAAAAAAAGAATTATCCGCATTGGTGCAGTCGATCGGAAGTTATGCGCGTACATACATTTCAGTGATTTATTTTTATTTATGATAGATTTGCACTGTCTATGCACCTGTACATTTAAATGATTGAAATTGAATAAATATGAATTGAAGAAATATAAAATAACTAATGATATTTTCAAGTAAAACATCAAACGGTACATTCAGTTCCACGATAAAAAGTAAAGTTTTATAGAATACTAACAGAACCTGCGGCTTCGCTCGCGCCAAAACTATAAAAAAACTCTAAAAATGTAGGTTTCATACAAACTCTCATCCCCTATTTCACCCCCTTCTGGGATGAATTTCTAAAAATGCTAAAGAACGTATTTATTTAGTTGTATTGAATACCATTACTACTAAGTTTAAAGTAATTCTGATCATAAATAAGTTTAGGGGTTGTATTATAACGTGTTTTCCCATGGGAATGAGATAATCTCCCGCGGTAAAAAGTAGCCTATGTCGCTCTTCCGCTTTCCAACCATCTTCACACAAAAAATCACGCCAATCCGACGTGAAACTCGACTCTGTTTCGACGTGAAAGAAGGACAAACAAACAAATAAACAGACAAACACACTTTCTCAATTATAAGTGAAGCGGGGATCAAAAGTAGCCTATGCCCAAGTCTCCAAGATGCAATTTACATATTTCCTTGTCAATAGTAAGATTATTTTCCGTTTTAATCGGATTTTTGAATAAACTTTTAAGCCCTTTTAACCTTTTGTGGGTTGTGTTTTGAAAAATTCTTTTTTAGTCCATATATGGAATTTACTTTCTGAGATTTCAAGAATAATCACTAAGTTTATCATTGGTATTTAGCTTTTATATATTATGTAAATTGTACTTTTGTTAGCACGTTTGGAAAAAAATATGAGGGTAAAAATTTTACGACGCGCGCGTACACCGACAACCAAAAAGCCACATGAAGTTAGCTGCATTCCATTTACAAAATGATGAATATTTAGCTATTTTTATTCTGTCACGCCAAAGAAGTATCTATAACTTCTTACGTGCGTACATAACTGCACACACAATTTTTTACTTACATACATAATATAACATAATTGTGAACGCTTACCAACAATTTAAACTTTCGTTTAATGCTACGTGGACTAGTAGTATCCTTGGCATTCAAATTATTATTCACTGAAAATATTATTCATTTAATACGAGACCATATGGATAAAATTATAACAAAATATGCATCGCGAACATGGTAAATTCTGACCAACTTTAGGTACCGTAATGGTTAGTTAATTACCTTCCGATAACTATTGCAGTTTCAAATACCATAATATGTATTTATTTAGTTAATCTACATAGATCATACAATACATTGTACAGTTCATTATGTGTATTTTACCCGTCTAAAAAATAGGATATTATTGACACGCGCTTGGCTCAGTTTGTTGTGACCTCACTTGCTGTGTCAGCGGTCACGGGTTTAATTCCCGCTGGGGAATATGTGTGTGATGAGCACGAATATTTGTACTCCGAGCATGGGTGTTTATATTTATAATATGTTTGTATAATAATGGGGGATTTAAGAAGAGAAATAGAATGAAACAGCTCAGAAGGATTTTCCAGAAAATAAATATTTGGCAATTAACAATAATATATTATGTATTGCTTTTTCTGTATACCTACTCATTTTACATTTATATTTTTATATTCCTAATTTATATAATGCGAATCACCGACTGTCCACTTGACACATTAAAAATCCATTGTCAAAGGCCAAAAACTGGCACAAAAAATAAGAAGAAGAACAAACCCAGTTTTTTTTTAATGTGAAAAAATCTGGATTTGTTCTATTTCTCTTTTTACATCCCCCTGACTCGGTTTTTAGCATTTTTTCTGTGTACAGACATTCGACCTCAACAGTTTTATTATATGTATAGATTTTGTAGGAGATCTTATCATTTATAATATTCTAAAAGCAACTTATGTATAGTAAAATAATATTACATTGTAACGTTCTTTGTTTTTAATTTTTTCATGAATACATAAAAAAACTAATTTTATTTTCCTTTAAATTCATTCAGTAAATAATATGATATTGTAGTTATTTTATGATATACTCGTATAAGTACAGTTAAAAGCTTATAATTAAAATACACAACAGTGAGTTGAGACAGAAGCAGTTATTACCTTCTGACTAGGAAATCAGTTGAAACAAAAGTCAGTATATTTCTGTATGGCTCACGTTTAAACATAGTCTCACCCACGCTGCTCTCGCGCCGCCACAGTCTTCTCTCGACTGGCCAGTCCCATCTGCCTTCTCGACGCTTTTACACGCACCAGGTCAGTGCAATTATTGGGAAAAATTATCCTTTATTAATATACGCCGATTTGCGAATTATTAAACGCACATCCCTTCTGCAGTGCGATTTTAACTTTCCCTTTTATGAAGTGTTAAGCTTTTGAATAAGTTAATGATATGTTTTAAATTTTTTCTTTTTTACTGATTAAATATTGTAACTCGCGTTTAGATTTCAGACATTTATTTCAGTCTTACGACATAGCACTCATGTGTGTTTATAACAATACACTCCTGTCCGAACAAAAACCGGGTTTCGTTACTAAAAATATCCCCATATCGAATGTTTGCGATATCTATTTTGGAATTTGTTCCACTCTCCGGCGCTCACGTTGGTATTTTAGAGGAATCATCCATCAGAAGATATTGGTCGATGCACATATTGGCCGATGCACATATTGGTTTACTGTGTTCAATAATAAAAAAGAGGTTAAAGTAGATATAGAAACGTAAATGGTGTTTTAAATGTTTATAAAATTCTCATTTAAACTAAATATCCCACATTCATATTGACCTAATCCAATGTATGCCAAGAAATCAGTTTTACATTATATACTTGTTCTAAATTACGTCAAATTGTTTACAGCGTATTACGATGTATTTAGAGTTTAGAAAAAACCGAACGTATTTTTAATGTGTTAATATATTATTAGCACATGATATATTACCGAACGCGATAGAAACAGGATATTACGTGATGCTAAAAGCTTCTTTTCCATCCATTCTTACTAGAATCATGTATTGTTGCCAACATATACTTTTACGACTCCAGTTACAAACATGTGAGATTTCTTTAGAATCGAAGGCTACTACCGTAATCTAAATAAATAGCACATAAGTTAAACTTTTTAATTTTAAAACTAAGTCATAACCTGCAATGATTCTGGATGCAGTATTTCTCATCGTCGTGTCTCCGGAGAATAAAGACGCTTGTTAATATTTCAGAAAGTTTTATCGTAAGTTAGCAAAGCAAAACCAAACGTTGTGAGTGGTATGTCTCATGTAGTTAAATCAATTATTTTGTAATCAGAAGAAGTAAATTCATTTAATATAATTAAGTATTGTTATTTAAAAATTGAAGTTGAACATTTTCATCTTATAACAACCGCGTATCGAATATTTTATTTGAAGAAATCTAAATCCAAATAATAAAATATCGTATGAGTACAAAGATAGCTGTCAAAGCATTAAAAATACTATTAAAAGTATAAATATTTACATCAGAAATAAAAGGCACAGAACTTTAAGAAAAGAAAAAAAATAATTGACAGGTCTAACAAGCTAGCAATCAATACCACCGTTGCAAAAATTTCTTTAAACAAACTGAAATTTAAAACCACCGCAATTTTATCATGGCAAAATTGAAATGCCAAGCTATCAAAATAGGAGCAGACTGCAATAGGAATAAAATGATAACAGGTGGATAGAAAACGTGCGGTTGCATATGACGTAAAGAAAATAGAATTCGTTAATTATATTTACTAAAATTTTATGATATTTTAATAAAATTAATCTTCTTCTTTTTATAAATAAACTATTATGGTCCATAGTTAACAATGACTGAATATCAAACGATGCTTTTAATTATTAACTACCAAATATTATAAATCATTATAAAATAACGATAATAATTTAATAACATTATATTATAACTGTGAAATGCAGTCAAATAAGTGTCTTTTGAGTCTATCTTCTTATTATTCCAGTCAAAATAGACATTTCAAATAACAAAAACTCCAACAAAGCTGAATTTCGGACAGACCTTGGGCACACGAGTAGAAATAAAGTTGTAGATCATAAAATTATCTATAAAAATGGTTGACCTTTTTTACTCCTAATATGTCGTGATTCTAAAAGTTAAAGGTGTTTCATTCCACACACAATATGCCCGGAATATACGCACAATATGTAGCTTAATGTTTAAAGTAAATATTTAGGCAAAATTATATTTATGTATATTCTGAATTAGATTGTATCGCCTCACTTTTTTTTAACATTGTTCATCTTTTTCAGCGTCAGCATTTATTAACAAAACTTAATAATATCGAGAAAGTCAAAATTAAGCTATGTTACTAAATGGGACGAGACTAGTTTGAAAGCCTAAAACACCCGCACAGACGCACTCACGTTATTAATCTGAGAGCCTTTGACGCAAGAGCAAATTTAAATCGTAAACCTTAATATCCATTTGCAAATCTCGCGCTAATTATCAGTCAAGGAAAATAATTATTTTGTAATATTATTGTAGTGGAGATACTCAAAAATTTCAGGATAGCGATAATATAATTTAATTTAAATAGGTATTTACATAATATACTCTTATGCATATTTTTTTAACTATCTTTATTGCTACTCAACATTGTTCAAAACATGTGTATATTGTATATATTATAATGTGGTCTATTTTCATAGTATTCTTTTGCAATCCACAGAAACCATAATAAGATGAGTCGTGTAGGAAGAGGAAGGCGCACTCGCGTCTACGATTGTAATTACAACAAAGGAGAGAGTTACTATCGCCCTGTTTTAGATCGACTTGATGGCAAAGCACCTGTAGCCAGAGAACCTGAAAAGGACAAGATCAGGTCTGACGTGGGAAATCGTATACGAAGCGCTCTTGATGACATTGAAACTCCAGGAGACGAGTTCTTTGACTCGAGAGGCGCCCATGCTTCTAGAGGCAAGCCCCTGTCCTCTGCTTTTGAAGACGATGATTTGAGTGAAGATGTAAGAATTTTTATTAATTTTTATTTTTTTATAATATCTGTTTTTTTTCATTTAAAACTTAAAATACTATTTTCCTCATGATACTATATTATTAAAGTTTCAGTAAAAGTTCCATTAAGTAAGTATATCATATTTTTATTCTTAGAGAAATAATAAGTTCTAAAGAAAGCTCTTTTTACCGTTAGCATTATTCACATCTTTCAATATCCTCTCCACATTTTTATAATGTAAAAATATATAATAAGCTTTTCTTTTTTGTTATGACTCAAATTTTAGAAAGCTCAAATTATTTTTAAATGTCTTTGGATTTACTTAATCGCTTAAAATTAAATTAGTTTTTAAATATTTCAACTTTAAAATGAATACAATTAAAATATACGCCATGAAATTTATTTAGATTTTAAAACAATTTCAAAAAACTGTATATTTCAGGTTTTGAGAATATGATTACATTTTCTTTAGTAGAGGTTTGTTTAGGGGAATTCCTGTGGTAGGCTGTTATTTTCCTCTTTGTAATATTCCGCGCTTTGACACTTTTCAAAGCGCCGTAACGTTTTTGACTGTTAACATGTAGTTGACACTTTACTGCGCTATGTTGTTAAAAAGCTGAAAAGAAATTATAATTTTAGTGTGTAGCGGTTACACTTTGATATTTTGCGCAAGCATGTTCATAGAAGATGTTATTTTAATCACTATGTGCTACTTTACACCTTTCCTTACAACAGTACAGTCTTCACGAAGTTTCATTTTGCTGGTTTGTCGCAAATCACGCTAAATATTTTCTTCGTTTAAATACAACTAAAATAAAAATATAAAGCTCTTTATTATTAAAGAATGTTATCTTTGAACCTAAATGTGCCCAATTAGCTATGTAAAATTAATATTTCTTAAGATTAATCTGTATTTAGTTTTAATGAATTAAATTTACAAAAACTTATTACTTGAAATTCGTATATTCGAATATACTAAAAATATACTAAAAATAAGTAATGGTAAACATTTCGTTCGGTTAAAATCGTTATATAATAATTTTATCAATCCTCTCTGTCCTCGCTGCTAGACTTTTGCATTTATAATTTTAAGTAGGTCAGAGTAAAATTATTATTTTGGTGGTAAAGATTCGGTAAAGTATAACAAATAACATATAATTTTAAAGTACATTATATTTGTAAAGTATTAGCTAGTTTGGATATACCATAACGATATACCATTTTAATCTACCTGTATACAATAAATACATAGAGTTCATAACATATGTAGGGGCATAAAAATAATAGTAAGTACTATAAAAGTCTTTATTAAAAATGATTTTATTCAAACCCAAGTTCTGATATATTATGAACATTGAACAACATACGATACGACGCGGGAGTCGTATCGGATAATTTAAACCTTTTGGTCTAAATTCAACAGGTAGAACAGTAATTTACGTGTTGTGTGTATCAGAGTCACGTTTCACCGTCGCAAAGCTATGATGGTTCGCTAGCAATTAATAAATTGAGAGGAAATATGAACAAGGCTAATTACGCCTATTATTTCATTAAAATACTACTTTTTGGTTGCTCTGAATAGTGTTTTATATTAAATTTTTGCTCAAACCTTTAAAAATAGATAGTAGAAGTTACTAGTAATATATATTTTGTTTTCCCAATATCTACGCTCCAGTTAAAATGTTACGATATGTTGACCACGTAATTATTCATCATCTCATAGAAATTTTTAATAATGATAATTAAATATGTTACCATCCACTATCTCGCGAGAAAATCCCGCATTTTTTTAAATGTTGCCTTAAAAACAGTCATATCACTCTAAATTAAATTTCATGCAGTTTACCAGGGCCTTTACAAAAATAAAAAGTACATTAAATATTGACATGGTTACTAAGTATTAACAACACTAATTCATATCAGAATCCATGCAGTCATTTCCGTATAAGAAAAGAATTTTGATTGTCATATAAATATAGCTACTCTCCAGAGGAACTAGTTCATTCTCACACAAAAATAAATATATACACACGAACATAACATAAATTGACTTGACGACTAAGTAATGATCATATCAATCCACAGCGAGATCAATATAATAGTTTCCGCATAAAAATGAATATCTATTCATATATTTTTTTTTCTTTCCGGGGGGAGGTTTTCTTGTTAAGAATGAAAGGTGTGCTAAATAATGACGATCAGCATCTCCAGGTATATTTCTAATTAAATTTCTAAGAAATTTATTGTTAACTGTAACGCCGGCGTGTCCGCGGACGTGGAGGGATTAAGTAATTATCACGTCGATAAATACACGTAATATTAAAATCAATATCTTTTCCCCTAAAGGCGAAACATTTCAGGACTAAAAACGACATGTATATTTTTAGCCTGTGACACCTATACTAATGTTGTTCCCTTACCGATGAATAAAAAGATTGACAGAAAATCATCTAAAAATATTGTTTAGATGTTTATATCATTAATAAAATTATCAATAAGAACTCTCAGGAAATACGTAAGCTACAGCTGATATGACTTTTCTATAATTATGAATACAAAACTATTCATTTTCCGCGCGCTTTATGTTATCCAGGTCACTCTTTTCTATTTTATATACCTATATTAAAAGTGGATTTTCCTTATTTCCATCTTATTGCATTTCTTTCAAGTACCTTAATAAATTGTATTGGATATAAAACGCAATCTGTATTATATACGTACATTTGATTTTATTTTAAATACTGTTTTAAATAGAATTGACACATTAATAAGCCTTTATAAGCCATAATAGCTATCGTGCGAAGCGTTTAATTTTATTTGCAAACCCACGAATAAAATTTAACATCTTAATTGACTGTCATTTTAAGCGCCCTCGTATAAGTTTATACGTCCGAATATGTGATGACTTGTATCAGTTTGAAAATACAATTACTATTCATTACCGTGTAGGTGTCAAATGTGGACAATATAACAAAGTTTGGCATCATAAAGATCTTTATTCCTATTTTAGATGCCGTGTCATTTCTATATTTAATGAACTCGATTACTAAGTGTATTCGTCATAAATGGTGACATGAGATACTCTATAATTAGAAAGTCATTGGTAAATGTAATTAAAGCATGTTCTCCTTGTTTCGATATGGAATGATGAACTCCTTTCTTACGTGAGGTGAATTGTATTATTTATATATACCCATAAAAACATACATTTTAAATAAGTCTGATATACTTACAACGTAAATGTACCTATTACCAAAGAAGTTGCTTTAAAATATTTTTTAAACAAATCAAAGTGGGCAAATTTATAAAATGTTGTTACTAATAACTAAATCGATATAACGTTTTATTACTATTAAAACACTTTCTCCAAGATTTACTGACAATTCGAATATACCCGCATTTACATTGGATTTTACGACTCTGCCAGAGGATCATCAACATAGAAATTGGTTCAAATCCTAGGGGTATAACGTTAATACAAAGAATAATAAGCGATATACAATAAATATAATATCTTTATGAAATGAATTCAGATAATGACGCCAGGAAGAAAAGTTTTACTGCCGCAAGCGATGGAAAATGCGTTCGGTTACGCAAAGGCGCTTTGAAAACTATATCACTTATTATATATATATAAATATATATATATATATATATATATATATATATATTATGTATATGTGTAATACAATGATATATAACGCTTTTTCCTGAAATATATAGAAACTGAAATTTGGAGAAGATATTCCATATACAATGTAGGCATCCGCTAAGAAAGGATTTTTCGAAATTCATTCCATAAGGGGGTAAAATGAGAGATGATGATTGATGCCCGGAAAGTGGGATTTATATATAGAGTTCTCGTATACACTACTTTTAACTCTCCAGTAGAATAACGATAGGACATTGCTGAAGAAAAGTGATATGTACCACCGATACGATACCAAATTGTACTAAAAGCCTCTCAGCAAAACATCATAATAGCTGTTAGTGTCCGACCTGTGCCTAAATTCATTCTATTGCAAATGCGATCTTTTTTTTCCACTTTGAACGTAGACAGTACGATTCATTAGTCAAGAGGGCGTGATTATCTAGAAAGATTTATTCTTGTCTATAGTCTTAAGCTTATCAGCTTTCCATTAACTGTAATAGTAATTCATTAGATTAATTTAGCTCGCTATATCACGGCTAAGTAAGATCACTTAGTTTGAAATTACGGCAGTTACCAACAAAATTAATAATAGGTATCAATGGGTCTAATTTGTTCCTAACTGATGTTATAAATACAAAAGTTTCTGAGTGCATGAGTCATCACATGAATGAGAGGAATTTTAAATAAAAGTATATTTACGGATTTTTTGGCGGATTTATTTAGATTTTTGGTTCCCGACGTTCGAATGCTTTACGACGATCATTTCACGGGAGAGACTGATATGAATCTGAGAACAGATATTTTTATTTTAAAATGTTAAACATTCACGTAAATTTAGATTTATTTTACTTTCTTAGGAAAGTCTAAATGACATTTTATATAGAAAAACCTCAAGATCGAGAAGATCAGACGACAAAAAAAATTATACCCTTAAAACGCTTATACAGCGAGCACAGAAGTACTCTGCCCACCTGAGCCTAAAGTGCAGTAATAGGCATTTTGGTCGGTTTTGAGTTAAATATATATTCTAAATCCCCATTTTAGTAGCTATCAGTCAAATTAATTCTTTTTCTGTAGCGCTAATAAAAGTATTTTATTTTAATGTTTTTTCGGAAGGTGTAACAGCAAAAATATCACAAATCTGTTAAAATATTCCATGTTTACCAGCTAAACCGCAGTACAATTAATACTGCACAAGATTTTTCTCTGTTTCCTAACTAAACTGCAGTGTTTTATCATATTTTGTGGCACTTAAAATAGTAGTTTGTTCTAGGAGATTCAAGAAAAAACTTATTAAAATGCAGTATTATTCGACTCTATACAAATTGATTATACTGCAAAGGTTAAGAAAAAATATT